TCGAGAACGACTTAAATAAATAATGATCTTTAATGAATTTTTTTTTTACATGTAAATTTTCTTACATTGGCTTTGCTCAGTACTTCCAGCCCCCCTCTACAAAAAATCCTAGATCCGTCCCTAATCACAACGCTGTGCTGCTGTGTAGTGGCGATGGCGGTGTATAGTGCTGCTGCACAGTGACATTTGTACCGTCGTCACAACAGCGTCATGAGTGTTGCCGTAGGGTTGTGGTGGTGTCCGCATCGGATGATCATGGTGAGAGCCACCGTGGGAATGTCGTAGTGGTGTGAGATAAAGGAAGAGAAGAAAAAGGGTATGGGAAGAGAAATGATTAGGTTTTGAAAGTGAAATGTGATGGGGGTGGGTTGATAGGGGTGGTGTAATTGGGTAGATTAATTTAATTATATAATATTATTATTTAAAATTTAAAACTTATTATGACCTGATTTTTTTTTACAAATAACTTTTAAATCTTATTTTTGAAAACGAAACTTAAAAAACAGGGTTTGGTGTAATTTTCTCTATATAGTTTTCATATGTATTTGACATATCATCAAATACAATCCTACTGGATCTGATCTATACACATATAATCCAGTCAACACTTTATTTAGATGCCTAAAATTCAATTACTTAATTCTTTAATAGATTATTTTAATTTTGGACTTAACTTTAAGATAACTTTCATATACAATTAATTATATGTCAGCCAACGTAACAAATTAAATATTTTCCCAATATAGTTCTCTTTCGTTTTCCCCTCACTAGCTGAAATACTTGAATAATTCTACCACCTCTACTAGGAGTAGCCTTTTTAGTGCTAGCTGAACGTATGATAAATCAATAGAGCTCGATTAAGCTTAGTAAATGTATTGATTTCTTATCAAATTAAATCTCAAAAAAAAAAAAAAAATTAATTAAATGTAAAAATTAAAAATCTGTTATGAGAGAATGACATGCTGAAACATTCAACTTATGTGTGTATTTATTAAAAATTAAACTTAAATTAAGTCTTAAACACCATCAAAATCATTGAAAAGACCGAAATTGTTTCCAAATAAAAGCACTTACCTAGCAAGTTCTTTTGTCCAAATTCAATGTCAAAGGTCTATCCAAAGCAATTCTTAGGGAAGATGATGTCATGGTTCTAAAATACAATATTCAATTGTCACGTCTAATTAAATTAGAAATATGTATCACGATAAAATCGACATTAAATTTTATCAACGCTTTGAATGTGTGAAATTTTAAATATTAACCCCCTCCTACATAACACTTTGAAATAAAAGTGGCGAAATAAGCTAGACAAAGTAGGTTCCGAAGACCGTGCCTTACAAGAACTCGAGACAAAAATCATGGTGAAGTTCTTGAATCCCTTGATGATGATTTGCCACTTTACTCAACCACTAACATACAAAAAATATCG